GGTTCTGAGAAAAAAAAAAAAACGGGGGGCTGATATGCCAAAAACTAGCAAGTCTTTGAGATCATAAACAGAGGAGGTAAGGTCTGAAGGAAACCAAATTTTGATTGAATGCTTAAGAGCATTGTGTTTTCGCATAGCAAAGGTGATAACGGAAACGACAATACCTTATTAATCGGTCTCATGGTTCTTCCTTATTGAAGAACTGCTGTGGTAGGGAAAAGCCTTCTTCTTGATTCAAAGTGTCTGTTTCATCATCTTCTGGTTTCTAGATAAAGTAAAATCCATATACAATTAGTATTTCTATGTCATTGGCCCAAACAGAAAATATTTGATTATGAGCGTAAATACTACAACAAACACTCATCTGCGAAAACCCTTGAACACAAAGCAAATAAATAAATAAAAATTAAAAAAAAAGAAGTAAAGGCATTCTCTTGAAGCAGGTAATATGACATCAGAACTTATAATGACCCATATTAAAATTTTCTGAGACATTCAACTTCCAATCAGATGCATGCCAAGCTAATCCTCGCTTCGTCAAGATCTATCAACCGTGGATATGGAAATGCAGGTCTACTGTAAAGGAGAAAGTTGCATTAGGCATTTATTAACTCATGAGCGTTAACTGAATCCAAAAAGAATGATGGCCACAAATGGTCAAGTATTTACTTGGTTTAACAAGATGATGGGCACTTAAGAATATTAAAAAGAATCTAAACCACGAATATGCTTGAAGAGTGTATATATGGTGTAAATTCTTGTTGACACAAAATTCACATTAACTCTTATTGAGAAAGAAAAACACTAAAAAAGCACACAGAAACTGATCAGGCAGCGAAAATAAAGGGATCATAAAGTCCAAGGTCATATTTCATTTGTAGCAGACATTCAACCGATTCAGATTGTGTAGTAAAGCTAGTCTTAATTCATTTTCTATTTTTGATGATTGGAACATCAGACTTGACTTAATCTGGCAATTTATTCTTTCATCCAAGAGAATTGTGGCTTTCAAATTTCAAATATACGCCGTCTTGTTTTTCCCTTGTTGTTTTTTATATTAAGGGAGAAGGCATATGAAATTTATAGAACTGGAAGAAGGGCAGTTGCAAAATTACCTTTGCATGAATCATGCAAAATATTGGATGAAGAAATACCCATTCTCCAACTCTGTCGATGAGAAAATTGCATGATCATACAAGATGGTTAAACAACAACCTTGAACCATAACTAACCGAAAAATAAAATAAAATAAATTTATTTTTGCACTATTGCATCTCAAATATAAAAGGATACATCTAAATAGCCACTACACACAAAATGAGATTGATTAAGAACAATAATCAGTATTCCCTCTCCATTAAAAAAATAGTTAAGATCTCCAAACAATTACCCATGATCATCCTAAAAGTTTATGAAGAAAATTTTCTGCTTTATTTATAGAAATCTGCACTTAATGTGTAGTTAGCCACTTTTCTCAGAAAGGAGTAACAGTCACATGATTCACATAGAAGTGACTGATGATGAAATTTGAATACGTATATGCATTTTTCACTCTGGTGATATGTTCTCCTTCACACAAACTGACAAAAATATATACTAAAGTAATACTAGGGCCATAGTCTGTTGAGAACCACTAATGATCAGTACTCAAGAAGAAAGCTAAAACGACGGATCTTAATTAGAAAGGATTAGGCCTTAACAGTTGGTCCTGTGGCACTTCGGCAACTAGAGATGACGAACAACAATGAAAATGATGACGTCACCTCCAAATATGACCTAGTAGGATAATCAAGTGCTTAATGAGAAAACTAAGAAGGTTTGACTAAAAAGGCATAACCATCTCATGTACTAATCCAAAAAAGCAAAGATGGTAGATAGCATGCAAATGATTTATATTTTTTCTCAAAGGTAGCATTGCTACTTCCATTCATAAGGAACAAAAAGATTCAAGAATCTTTGCCAGAGCCTTTAAATTTTTTTCTAGGACTTATTAGGATATCACTCATAATGGGGCTCCTAACTAGCACACAATTTACAAGACTAGCATGCAATTTTACCACATAAGTTCACAGATTCAATATGTTCCTCAACGGAAATCCAATTGAAAAATTCAAGAGAAAATGCATAAAAACGATAAGAGGTTAACAATATTCCTTGAATTAATCATAATCGTAAGATGGCTCTCATCATAACCATTATCTAATATGAGTGGAAGTTAAGCTTCATACCAACATTTCCAAATTGAAGAACCGATCTAACAACTGCAAAATTTCATCTGCTGAGAAGTGTCTGTCAAAGCTGCAAGATCATATTGCTCATAAATATACAAGCAGTATAAATTTTCACTCCATAAACTAGAAAAGGGCATATCTACCTCCTCTGCATGAACTCCATCAGCCCATAAAGAACAAAGTGCCGATGCACGCCTATTAAGCATGCTCATCTGGCATTAGAATATAGACAGTAGTGAAGAAAGATAGTAGTACAAAAAGGTTCCAGTTGACAAGTATTAACTTTCTTTTTGAGACTAGATACGTCAAAATCTTGCCTTGTTCACATTTAGCACCTAACTAGGTTTTCACAACACAATAAATAGTACACCAATTTAAAGGATATGGATCCAAAAAACCATAACTACAGGACACACAGGCAAGGATCATAAGATCAACATCATACAACACCAATTTCATACTTTCACTAACAAAGACTGAGAAAAGGATATTACAACTTTATGAATTAGGCAACCCGTAACATGGACTTGTAAGATAATGAACAACTTATTTCACTCATTCCCGCATGGCAGCGATTGAGAGTTGTTGGAATTCTTCTAAAAACTTTATCCTACAGATCTAAATAATGAAAAGATATTCCAGCCTTTGGGACAGGCATGCAACTAGTACTGATTTCAAGGACAGATTACCGCCTCCGGGCCTCCAAGTAGTTAACCTACAGCTATCTTCCTCTAGTGGTACCCTTCAACTAGTTCCCGGATGACGAACCCTGAGCAAGTAAATTTCTCTAGGTCCCCTGAACTTGCAAAAAAAACCCCACTAAACATTATAAATTAGGGAAAAACACTATCTGGACTTTATACAGAAAAATACTATGGCAGTTAGTTTATACTTTATACCATCATGTACTTCATGCGTAAAAAATTTTGGAGAATTTCGCCCGTGTACCTAATATTCTTGTATTAAAAATAATGAAAATGACTTTTAAGTTCTTTTTAACAGTGTGATTGTTATTGACTTTTTCTGGCAACGCAGGAATTAAAAAAAGAATTACCACCAGGTCAGCCCAACCCTTCTGCCACTAAGCCGGTCATCAATAGAAAACTAAGCTATATGAAGGTCTTCATAGGGAAACTCACTGCCATACGTTATAGAAAGTAATAAACTCAACAAAAAAGGCCAACACCTACACTATGTATTGCCACCAACCAGGGGCGGATACACATGCACTCCTAGGGAGGCAGTTGCAAACCTAAGATTATGTAAAATTACATTACACAACCATCTAAGTTTACAATACGCCCCCTGTAATTTAAAAATATTTGCACTCCTTTCAATTTTAGCCCATATTAGTTGGGAATTCAACCCACGAGTCAAGAATATTGTTTTACAATATTATATTTTTAATTCTTGGGTAAATAGATACTTATCGTCCCTACAATAAAAAGCTTTTCTAGATCCGCCACTCGCACTAACAGTAGTTGATCACAATAGTATCCCATCATACAAACTAGACAGAAAATGGTCGTGACTTCGGTTTCCAAGTATTCCATATGGAACACACTAAATGCTAGTCCTAGAATGCTATTGAAACAAAAATAAAAATATTTCAAATAAAATCTTTAAATTTTATGATATTGCACTAACATACATATATCCATTTTGATTGCCAAAGTTTACTAAGATTGTGTTTGGCAAGAGGCTAAATTAGGAGTTAAGGGGGTTTAACCCTCCATTAGCCTGCCAAACAAAAAAAAAGCCCAAGGGTTGAGTAACCCACACGTGAGCCTAACAGCTCATTTAACCCGTGAATTGAAGGGTTAACTATTCCTCGTAAGAAGGTGGAACAAGCCTTGTTCCGCCTTCTCACGCGAGGGTAGGCGGCGGAATATTTTCATCTGGATCTTGGCAGCGGAATTAGGGGAATTAGGTAGCGAAATTCGGAAGAAAATCTTTCAGTTATAGTCAAATTCCCAGCAAACAATTTTTCCCTCCAAATTGTTTCCCTCTACTTCTTTCCCTCCAAAATTTCCCTCTAAAATTTTCCCTCTACTTTTTTCCACCTGAGAGATCTTTCGCAACTATTAATATGAATATTTTAGGGGGAACAATCAAGAAGAGAGAAATTTTCAGCCGATTTGGGATCTCAAGTGATGGGAGGCAAAGGAATTGAGGTATGTTGATTTTGCATTTTCCTTAATTAGCATTTTCCTAATCACAATCGCATTCGATGACAACGTACAGATTCAGATCAGCCAACATCAAGTTATTAAATCATTCAATTTTTTGTGAAAAATTACTAAAAAAGCACAGATCCCATCTTTTCACGATCTGTTCCAAATAAATTATCATATCATGTAAATTATAAGCAAATCACCCATATGCAGAGTTCGCCTTTTTAGTAAATGTATGATTTTTTTTTTGCTAACTTAAATGGAATGTTATCTAAATAAAACCTTGTTTCTTGATTTCCATACTTTCTCCTTACCTTTCTGAAGAAAAAAAAATAATCTAATTTTTATACATAGAACTATGCACTAAATTGTTGTGCCTTCTTTAATTATGTTTTTTGCGATCATTACAATTTCTTACATTTAATATTGTAAACATTATTAGTGCTGGAAATAGAGGCTTAACAGAGGGAATTTGGATATGTTTTTAAGAAAAATGTTAAAATTGTTAGCAAAGTAGCTTTGAATTTGGATTGAATCCAATATGATGTGAATTGAATTATTGTAAAGACTAATTGTTTTAAGACCAAATGTTGATTGCTTTGTAGATTAGATTTTTTAGTTCAGAAAGAATGCAATTATAAGATGTATACATGTGGATTGAATTCTTGTTAAAATTGATTATTTTAAGACTGAGTGTTGATGGTTATATGTTTTTGTTAGGAATGAATGCAGTTAAATTTTGTTTAAGTAGTTCAACTAGATCATAATTGATTAGTTTATTGTTCAATTGAATAACGTCTTTTAAAATTCTCATTAATGATATAGAATAGCTAAGAAGAACTTCATGTCACAATCTCAACCCGAAGATGGGCAGTCAAGACCTCAAGCTAGGAATTGGACTATAACTGAAGATAATTGTTTGTTGGGAATATTAAAGGAAATGATTCTTAAAGGAAAGAACAATGGAGGTCATTTCACTAAAATAGCAAAAAGTTACCGATGAGTATAAAGACAGGAGTGGACAAGAGGACAGAGGCAAACCACAAATGCAAAGCCGTTATAAAATTTTGAAAAAGCAATATCTCCTTAATTACAAACTCCAAAATAAATCAGGTTGGGGTTAATATGAAGGTAAAAATATGGTAATTGCACCTACTACAAAATATTAGGAGGCATTAATAAAGGTATTATCTAAATTTCTAGTAATATTAAATTTGAAGTTTATATAATTAAAACTATGATATATTTATTATGAATTTTCTACCACAGGAGAATAATGAGTATTTAAGAATTAAGAACAAACATTTTTCCCAGTTTGATGATATGAATTTTTTATATGGAGGTAACACATCTAATAAGAAGCGCTGGTGGTTTGGGACTACTGATAATTTCAATGAGCGTGAAGGAAGCACTAGTTCAGAAAATGAATTAGAGGGTACGGAGGGGCTACACAATAACGAGATAGATTTGAGTGATTCGGAGGAGGTACAAGTGGAAGAGACACAGGTTCCTTTTAATAGGACACAACCACCATCACAACCAATACCTATTTCTACTCTGAATATAAAACACCACGCTCAACCATCAGGTTTAAAGCGTAAGTTTAAAAATGTTTCTCGTCGTCGAGTATCAGGTATTGAATTGAAAATAATTTGTCAAAAATGATTGAGCTCCAAAAGCAGCGAGTTGAAATTTTAAAAGAACTTGTAGATTCCAAAAAAGGGGTGCCTACTGAAATGAAAGAGTGCATGGATAAGAGAATGGCATTACCTGGTGTAACTAGTGATCTATGTGTGGCAGGAGCAGAAGCTATTAAAAAGAAGGAGAATAGACATGTCGTTAATATGCTTAACGGTCAAATGCTATTATCATGGTTCAAGAAACAAATAGATTTACAAAATGCAATGTCTAGTTATCCATCACTGACTTATAATTTCCAACATCAACAACCTCTAATGCACCAGTTCCAATGTGAGTCCTTTAATCAACCAAGATGGAAAGGGTTTTCTCAAACTTCTCAGGATCAATCACGAATGTCACAAGCTCATGACAGCAACATGCAGGAGATGGAGTCATTTGTCAGCTTACTTAAAGAGAAACAAAATTTTCAGCTGAATTGATGCTTTATGTTCAAGTCTCAAGAGTCAAGACTAATAGATGGGTTAAATGTGCTCTCATATTTAGTTTAGTAGTATGTTTTCTTGCTTTTAGTTGAAGTTGATGTTCCAAAGAGTGATTTTCTTATTGTCAAACAATCGAATTATGATTTTTAAATGTTTAGATTATATCCTATGTTGGATGGTTTTTATGTTAGATAATATTTTGCAAAGAGGCTAAGATTTGCAAAGAGTTCTTATGTTGATATTATGATTTTCTTGGTAATTTATCCTAACCCAAGTGTCCTGATTTTAGAAAGATTTACAGTGTCAACATGCTCAGTAGTGTATACACTGCTTGACACATAAACACATCTACATCTTTGCTTGTTTATTTATATATATCCATGCAGGTCATATTTCCAATGCTCTTCCTTTTGTACTATTAGTTGTTGGATGTTTGTGTGCGTGCATGTGTGTCTTTGTATGTGTTTCTATATGTCTGTCTGGAGTATGCAGGTTTTTCTTCTCTTTTTTCCCTGCATTCTACTCTAAAGTGATGAGACAGAATGAAGAACTTAGCATTAACATGGTGTTTCTTTGTTTCGGTGTTCTAGGTGAAGAATAATTTTGATATCTTCATGGTATACTGGCATCAGGTCTGATGGATGTGGCTATGTGCATCAGGTCTGATGGTTATGGCTTTATGTATCTTCATGGTATATTTGCAGTAGGCCTGATGGCCTGATTTTGATATCTTCTTGATGTATTAACGTTAGGCCTGATTTTAATATTTTTGATATATTCATGGTATATTGTCATTAGGCCTGATTGTTGTAGCTTTTTTTATCTTCATGGTATACTAGTTTTATGTATCTTAAGGAGAATGATTTTGATATATTCATTGTATACTAGCTTCAGGCCT